TCATAAACAGAAGTAGTAGTGGTAGTAGCCATCAAGAAAGTCCTACAGTCCTATCTTGTAAGGAAAATGAGAAGAAATTCCATGGTGAAAAAATGGAGAGTTCAATTGATGAACAACTTCAGACTGCTGCAGATGATTCTGTACGAAGTGATAGTATTCCATCTCTTCCTGATGAGAAAGGTAACTTTCCATGCACATGCATGGTGATCTTTGGTACAAAGTGCAGATAACGCCACTGAACTGTTTTACACACACACACACACACACACACACACACACACACACACACACACTTGCTCTAGTGGTGCTGAAATTTGAACTCAGGGCCTTATACATGGTAGGCAAATGCTCCATCATGGAACTATACCCCCAGTCTGATATAATATTTTCTAGAAAGAAATAGGGCCTTATACATGGTAGGCAAATGCTCGATCATGGAACTATACCCCCAGTCTGATATAATATTTTCTGGAAAGTAATAGTTAAAAGTCGTAGACTTGGATATTTAACTTAAGAGATTTCTAATAAAGTGCTCATGTTGTATCCTAGTTTCTCTTTACCACTTAGAGTAAAATTGAAACTGTTAAGGAAAAAGGAAAAAGAACCAAAACTTGAGGGTTTATAAAATTCTTAACCAATCCATATTGAGAGAGAGAGAGAGAGAGAGAGAGAGAGAGAGAGAGAGAGAGAGACTGAATGAGAAATATAAGCATATTCTGAAGAGAATACCAATGGGATGACTAGACAGTCACTACACAGAGATTACCCACAGATTTGACCAGAAACCAAGAGTAGAGATGTGATTAACAGCAGAAACACTGTCAGCTTGGACTAAGGAGGCAGGATAAAATAAAGGAGAACAGACTTTTACAGGGCTGGTCATCAGAGCATCTCTAGCTGCAAACGTGCCTTATCCTTCCAGAAAGGGGAAGAATGACTTCTGGGATAATTTATAGATTAGCAGGGCTGTCACTGTCAGCACAGGCAGGATGTCAAGGCTGTGTATTTTAGAGGGTAGGGCTATCTACTTTTTTTTTTTTTTTGCATCCATAAGAAATGTACTTGTTTTAAAAAAAAATCCAGCGCTAGCATTGTTCAGAAAATTTTTGTGTGTTTATAACTGTTGTAAAGTTAAATTGCTAAAATATGTTCATTGAAGCATTCTCATATTAGTGTTTAACATCCCTGGATTTGTGTGGAAATTCACCTATAAATGAAAATAGAAAAATTATCAGTACTTCTATTTTTCCCCTTGCAGTCACAATCAGGTATATTTTGACCCTGTATAAAATAACTACATTAAAGGGGCTGGGGGATGTATTAGGGTTCTCTAGAGAAACAGAACCAGTAGAATTTAGAATTTATAAGAGGGAATTCACTGGACTGATTGGCTTACCCATTTGGAGCACTTGACAATGACTATCTGAAGGCCAGAGAGCTGAGGAAGTCATAGAATAAGAGGGACCAATGATGCCACTCCAAGTATGGTGCTGAAGGTCTGGAGCTCTGGAGAGTGGCTGGTACAAGTCAGCATTTGAAGGCTAATGAACTACAGTATGCAAGAAAAATGCAAAACTCAAGAACATTTGCTGCAGTGTGAGCCTCCCCCTCCCCCACATTGTTATATCCAAGCCTTTAACCTATTGGATGTTCCTGCTGCATTCAAGGCAAGTGGTCCTCAGTGTGTTGACCCACATGCCAGTCATTTCTGGAAGCACCCTCACCTACACACCTAGAAGTGTACTCACAAATTTCCTAGGCATTACTCAATTCAGTCACATTGATAGTTAAGATTAACCATCACAGGGGAGAAAGATATGATGTAAGAAATTGGGAAAATGTTTTAAGTAGAAAGTCTAATGTAAACAGAACAATATATAAACCTGGGCTTTAGTTGGCAAATTTGTTTTTCAGAGAGATGTAAGTTAATAGTTCCATTTTATATTATATGGAACCATTGAAGTTAAAAAGTAAATAATAAGGTATTGGATGGTTTCTCTGTTTGAGAGGAAGACAAGAAGGAACTCTGGTACTGGATTTAAGTGAGAGACATCTTTCTGGAATCCATGCTTAGCTTGTATTGATAAATGCAAAAGCAGTTGTACATGTATGTGCACATGCATATATGGATGAGTGTATATTCTACATGTATGTATGACTTAGCACTGTGTAATGAGCAAGTGCAGAAGCAGTAATATCTCAGTCGAAGCAAAGGCCACTAGCTGCCTGTTACGGTTTCTAAATATCATTCTCGAATCAAAGAATCAGACTTCTTTGTAGAAATGACTAAGCCTAGGATTGCAGGGAAAATGCACACTGAGTTTGAAGCATCTTGTGATACCAGAAAGTAAGGAAGTGCTCTGTGAGCAAGAGGTGGAGAGTTTTTCAGAGGTACACAGTAACCAACGTGGAAGAGCTATCCTCTTTCAAATTAATCATGGAATTAATTTCTTAAGCTACTGTAATTTAGCTGGGTATGATGGTGCACACCTTTAATTCCAGCACTTGGGAGGCAGAGGCAGGTGGATCTCTCTGAGTTCAGGGACACCCTGGTCTGATCTACATAGTTCTGGGCCAACTGGGGTTACAGGGAGACGCTGTCTCAAAAAAACCAAACCAAAACAAAACAAAAAGAAAAGAAATCTTAATTACTGTTTATTTGCTAATGTTAATGTTTTTTATTTTATTTTATTTTTTGCCTCTCAAGTGCTGGGATTAAAAGCACATGCCACCATGCCCAGCTTGTTAAACTTTTTTATAAACTTTTGTTTTTATTTCTACTGTTATTCCCTTGTGAAACTTTGATCATAACTTTTTTTTGTATTTTTCTCTAGATGTGTATTAGTGGTTTTTCTAATTTGTAAGAACTCTTTAAAAATGAACTATATTAATCTTTAACATTTAATTAAATTTTTGTGTGTGGTATGTTGGGGCCCATGTCCCATGGCATGTTTGTGGAGACCAAAGAACAAACTAAGAATTGGTTCTCTCCTTCCACCATGTGGACCCTAGAGCAAACTCAGGTTGTTGTGCTGGGGCCCATGTCCCATGGCATGTTTGTGGAGACCAAAGAACAAACTAGGAATTGGTTCTCTCCTTCCACCATGTGGACCCTAGAGCAAACTCAGGTTGTTAGGCTTGGTGGCAAATGCCTTTACCTGTTGAGACATCTTGCTGGCCCTCTCTTTCTTATCTTAGTATTCCTAGGTATTTTTAGAGGTTTTCTTTTTCTTTGTTTGTAAGATACTTGAATTTTGTATAATTTTTCCATTCCTATTAATTGCTGATGAATTTATGTACAGTTCTCTCAGCAAAAGGCAAACAGGATGCTACTTGTATGAATACTGAGAATTATAATGGTAATTTCTGGGTTTGGAGGTATAGGTCATTTGAAAGTGTGCTTGCCTAGCACACACTAAACCTTGGGTTCAATCCCTAGCCCAAACAAACTAGATGTGCTGGTGGATGGGGTGTGATGGCACACATCTGGCACTTCTGTAATTCTAGCTCTCAGGATGGAGAGTCAGGAGTTAAGAACTAGCCTGGGCTACATGAGACCCTGTATCCAAAATAATAGTAATAAAAATGACAGTTCTCCTTATTGCTCAGACTCAACTTCTATTGCAACAGAGTACTCTCTGAAATTTGATGAATCTATGACAGAAGATGAAATAGAAGAAAAATCGTTTCGATCTTTGCTGCCGTCTGAGAGTCATCGCAGATTTAACATGGAAAAGAAAAGAAGTCATCACGATGACTCTGATGAAGAAGCTTCCCCAGACAAGACTGCATTATCTTCTTCCAAGGTGTGTTTTAGTTTACTGAGCAGATGAATGGTTACAGTTCTTGTCTTTCAAAGGTTTGAGAATACATATTTATTTATTTATTTTCATGTATATGAATGCTTTGCATATATGTAAGTGCACCCATGCATGTAGTGCCCATGGAATCTAGAAGAGGACTTTGGATCCCTAGAACTGGAGTCACGGTTGTTAGCTACTATGTGGGTGCTGGGAACCAAACTTGGGTCCTCTGTAAGAGCAACTGGTGCTCTTGACCACTGAGCCATCTCTCCAGGCTGAGAATACATTTTATATTTGAACTCAGTTGGTAACTACCAGAAACATTTTTATCAGTTTTACATTTTTTCGTATAAAATCTGGCATTATTTTCTTTACAAAGTAGAATATAAACTTACAATGAGATAAGACCTTTAAGAATCTAAGCCATT